TGCAGCAGAAACAGGGATCTGCCGAGAGTATTTGCGCGCTGTCAAAAGGCTATATAATCCCTCACGATGGGGTTTCGATTTCAATTTCGAAATGGAGACGAACGTACGACTTGCGTGTAAAACCGCCCCGAGACGAATCGAATGTTTTTTAAGAAAATAATCCCCGAGAGGAATACGTATATGCCGCGTGTGGCGGAGCGAAACGGGCACGAGGAAACTGCACTTGAAGTGCACGGGTGGTGCACACGACAGACGGGAGGGTGGGGGGGGGAAACCGCAACCCGGAGGCCGGGGTTAGTGCTGCCACCGACGTGTGTGCTACATGCACCACCCGATCGGTCGTTTCACGAATTGTTCTAACCCGCTGTACGCACCCGGTGGGCAGTTACGTTTTATGAACACGCGTGTCGTGTGATCGGACGGTCTGTGGAACGGTTTACGAAAATCCGCTGCAATAGTTTTGCACACGTCGGATAGTATTCTGTACGGATAAATTGCGTTGAAAAAATTGGTTCACAACGAAAACACGGTTCGACGCTGTAATAGTACGTATAACCGCACGGCTAGTAGCCCAACCGTGGGTGTCACTTAAGTCCAAATTTTGGGGTAGCAAAGTTTATTTTTAAAAAGTTAAAAAATAAATTTTTAAAGGTTTAACATGTTAACTGGCTTACTGAATTAATTGGCTAACTTTTCTTCGTAAATCTTGGTGTGACGTTTTAGTGGTTACATTGTCTTATTGTACGTATTGGACTTATCACAAAATATAATTATTTTGGATACAATCACGATATATATGGTCTATGTTCGTACACACTTGAATAATAAACTTTAAATATATTTTTAAAATCTCTAACTTTTTTTGTGGTAGCAAAAAGATACCCTCGATACCCCTTAGTAACGCCTATGAGCTCGACGATCGTTGTTTACGCTGAGCGTGGTCGAAAGCTTCCGGATTATTGTTTTTATTTAACCCTAATTGACGAATGATAATTTATTGGCCTTGCGGCACCGCCCCCCCCCACCTCCGAACCGGTATAAATATTCGTATCTCAGGCGTATCTGGTGCTTGCGTACAATGCGGTGTCGTCGTTTTTGCTCGCGAACGACAGAGCTACACGTTTACTAACGGCACTTGTGAGCTCTCAAAAGCGGATAAGGAATCCGTGGAACATTTGGATACGGCGAACATTTTTACAACGGGCGGTTTTCCGTTGTCAATCCGTTTTAAGATTTTTCGTATTATTCATATTTCATTTTTTTAAACAATTGATTTGGAGTTTTTAAACCGCGGTACTATGATTATCATTTTCGCAGAGTTTACGTACATTTATAGAATACAAGCTACATTTCCGGTCTCACCTCTTATATATTTACTATATTAGATTAATCACTATTTTGACGTGAAAAATAAATAAAAATAGTCAGAGAAAAATACACTACCTTCGACTATGCTGGATGACATAACATTATCATCAATCAGTATTTATCAAAATTAATATATTATGCGTTATAAAATATTCTTCGGGTAATTGAAAAGTGAAAACATTTATACTCTAGCCTGAAATAGTTTCGAAGCTTGAAAATTAGATTTTCAAAAAAATGTCTTCTCATTTTACATCATGAGTAATCGAAGAACTATTATGCTAAATTTTCTAATGCATAGGTTTTTTTTCGTTTTTGAGATCTAGCGATCAGTGAATGAATGAGTGTTATTTGAATTTTAAATTTATGCATTTCGTTTGCAGTCCTGCGAATAGTATGATTTTTTTTTTTTTTTACATTGGTACTTTTACAATGAAACACAACCCAACCGCAAACAAATGCCCCATGTAAATGTGTGGTGCGTGTGTTGGTCATCATTCATCTTGCAATATAGAATCCCCGTTCCTCCATAAAGTCTGGAAATGTTTTCGGAAGTCGGACTTTTAAAAATACTCATTTAATGGAAGTGAAAAAGAGGCATCTGACCTCTTCCGGTCGGGTGGACAGTTCCGGTGACTCTTTGACAGCCATTGAACCTAATGGTGCCATAACAGTTCACTTTGAGTACGTTTATTCTCTATGTGCTTTCTTTCTGTCAACACTAAACACAATTGCTGAAAAACCTTATATGTTACCATAAACTGTACACATAATCGTTAAGTGTACACACACATTTTATTTCAAAGCATATTAAAAGAAAATATTGCATGTTTTCTTCCGCAGTGTTCTCATTTTAAAATGTTCAACCATCACAACGATCTGATTGTACTCGAAGAAAATTAAACAGTCATTATTTACACTGACATTTCTTCGACCAAATTTTATCACATATCTCACAAACTTTCTATGAACATATTAAATATGTATAGACGTATATTTATTTTTATAACGTTATATATATATAAATATATGTGTATTCAAACGATGACCATAGAAATCGCTATCTATATTGGATGAAAATAGTATTATAAATAATAAAAATTAAGTATGCCGAAAAAATACGTATTTGTTAGATTTATTGTATGACTATGCAAATTTCTTCTGTACCATTGTTTAGCCATTGTGAATTTAAAGCGGATTCCGAAATATACAAACGACAATATATAGCAACGAAAACTATTCGAACATTTGTGGCGTTCGACGATATCGATTTATTCCGAGAAAATAATATGTTTTCAAAAACTTTATTTGCTATAACCTCGTGAAACACACTAAAGATTATAATGCAACTTTAAACAAATTACAGCCGATGATTTCGCTGTCCATAAAATGTTATTTCAAATAAGCCCTTATTGCATTACAGTAAATCGTTTTCATTTAGAAATCAAATAATAGTTGGTATTTTGTTAGCGACCGTGCTGGTAAAATATTTTACAGCGTAAAATAAACCTCTAAAATTGAATCGCACGGGTCCGAAAAAAATATAGTATCTTGAATAAATTTTGAAAATAATAAATTGGTATTTTCAAAAATTATTGTTGGGTTCTGAAATCGTAATTCGAGAATGAATATACTATCACAGTCGAATAACATACAACAGAAACCTATCAAAAATGTCTTCTACATATACATTATATTTTCGATTTTTTTTTTATTCAGTTAATATTAAATTTGTTACTGTTTAACGTATCATAGAATAGTAACATCTCACAAAATCCTAAAACATAATATATTATATTTTTAACACAATTTATTACATAGGTGTTAGTGTAAGTGTCATTTTTGATGAAATTATGAATAATAAATTGTGCTTACAAGCATCAGAATTTTCATCCTTATCACCAATTTATGATTTCTGCATTCATGTTTACGTTTATTATTACCTTTGCATGTTGTTAAAGTTTTATTTATGACAATTACTCTCATCAATTATTTTCGGTGATTGCGTTTTACTTTATTACATGATATTATTTATCGTATTTATCTATTATTATATTATTATGTTGAATTACTTATTTTTTCACTTATTATTACTCTATATATTAAATGTGTAAATTTAATATTTTAATAATTTAACTGTAATAGTTTTTACTAAAAGTACTAATATAAAAAATAAAATTAATTAATAACAGTACTTACAATAATCAGTGTTGAGCATTATCTAGATAAATATGTAATTATCATTTATCTTATCTATTTAAAAACAAAATTAGTTATCGGATGAATTATCTGAGATGAATTCTTTAGTTATCTATCGTAATTCATCTAGATAAATAAATACGAATATATTTATTCAAATACTTCTAAAAATTGAACTAGAAAGTTAAAAACTAATAAAAATTTAAAATTAACGAATACTTTATTAATATTATAATTAATTACTATTATTTTAAAAATTGTGTTACTGCAATATATGTTTAATTATATTATTTAAATTGTGCTTTTAAGTATTATTTTTAAGAATTGTTTACATATTTAATAAGGACTACCTATTCAATTTATACTTTCTAGTGTCTTACAATATCTGATACCTAAGAAAGAAAATTAAATAATACAGATAATGGTTGAATTATTCATTGAATTCGTTGAATTGTTCTTTAGTTACATTGGAGATATATATTAGATCGAAGTTAGGTTAATTTGAATTTAATTGAATTTTCTAAGTAAAAATATATTAAAAGAAAGTGTAAATTATTTAGTAAAATAAAAAAAAAAATGCATCTTACTTTTTATCTTGATGAATAAGTGTTTATCTTTTATCTTTATCTAGATAAACTTTAAATTATTTTTGTGCTACACTGACAATAATGTATTAATATATGAGCGTAGATATTGTAAGTGGGTGTATACATTTTCTCTGTAATACCTATGAATATTTTTAAACCGGTATTTTATTTAAATAACATTGTTTAACTTTAATTGTTTTTGTCTGAAGTATTTAGATTTTACCATAAAAGTAGGTTGACTCATACATTTCATTTAAAGTTGAAACGAGTTTAAACGCTAAGAGGACTACATATTACATGACATATATGTTGATAATATAAAAATATAGATATACATATACATGCATGTTAACTTAGTATTTGACGTTTTATACGGGGCATTAACGCCAGCTTATATATTTTCCATATCGTTGCATCCACTCGAAAATATTATCTCCATTACTGCCAGTTTCGGAAAAATGATGGTCTACCTAGCTGTTTTATTATTTTTTTTTTTTTTTGTAAAAAAATATAAAAAAAATATTTTAAACGAAATTTGGTCTGTGACTTCCCTTTATACTTTGAAATACTATGCCTTGTACATATATATTTTTGTTATTATTTACTTACACGGCTAATAATTTATTATTACAACATTGAATATTATATTAATCTGTTTATTTTATTTTATAATTAGAAATTAATCTGATAGGCTGTCCTACGCGTTTTTAATTGTTCTGATTGATATAATAACAATCATTAAATGCGAAAAATGTATAAGATCATGCGATTTTTCGTGTTCAAAATCAATACTTCTTCGATAAACTATTTATCATTATACCAATAAATAAATTTTTTTTTTGGTTGTAGATTCAGTTATACGGTTACAATACTGATCTTTATTCAAATATGTCGGAAGCGCAAATGAAATCCCAAGGAATCGTTGGTGTATCACTCATGGTTCAAGTGAGTGTTTAAAAAAAAAAAAAAAAACAGTTTCTTTAAAAATATGTACTTTCTAATTTTTTCAACTACTTGTACGTTTATTCCAATTAGATTGGACAAACGACAAATTCAGAATTCCAAATGGTCACCAATGAATTCAGTAAACTTCTATATAAAGGTAAGTGTTATATTTTTAATGATTGAGAGTTAATTACTTTCGGAATAAAATGATTGTTACAACAATATGAAATTGGGAAACAAAACTTATAACGTAAATGAAATTAATTTTGTAAACTTATACTTAATAATCAATAAGTAAATTATTTTTACACCCGTAGTAAATATAAAAGTTATACACTAATAGCTACCAATGGCATAAATTAAAAAATATGTTTAAGTTGTTCCATGCGTAATACATTAAGTCTATTAGTGTAGCTCGCCCAATTTCGTATTCGATATTTAGTAATAGAATAACACTATATTAAGTGATTCATTAAACTCGTTCTCATCTTCTCAGCCGATTTTTATTGTATTTTTTTTTTTTAAATATAAAACTAATTTTAATTTTTTTTTTTTTTTTTTTAATTCGAGACTTAGAACAGAAGTAGTTGTGTATTCGTTATGATCTGTATAATCATTTATAAACCGTATTACTTGAGTACATTGTTGGTTTAAAATAGCTATAGCTTTGCATTTTTTGTTCGTACAACGAAAATACAAGTCGAAGTTTTTTGTACACCGAGCTTTTGTAAACTTAAAATTGTTTATACTTATACATTTATTACGCGATTCAAATATTTCACTTAATACGAAATACATGATAAAAATTATAAATATTACGTCGTACAATACATTCCGCTCACTGAAAATTATCACGTTAGACTAAATTTGCGCTGTGATAATCGCCTGACATATTGAAAGATAATTATAACTTATAATCAAGCGAAGTCCCAACGGAAAGTTCCGTTTCAGGTAAAAATGAAATAAAAATATTAGATTATGCGAAAACTAGTTGTTGATTTAACTTTATCATATGCGCAAACGAGTTATGTTATTCCAGGTAAAAATTATAGATTGTGCGCAAACAAGTTGCAGCAAAACGAAGCAAATTGATTTTTCCAAATATTAAAGTAGTATGAACCAGCTAATGATCCATAAATTATAAAGTATTAAAAGTACGGCCCATGTATCTATATATCTAACTAATAATTGTAAAACCATACAGTTAGCTTTATTATCAACAATCAGACGTAATATTCTTAGTATTTTATTTGTGTTTTAAAAACTATAAGTATTACCATTATAACGATGAAAAACCGATATTATAAATATTTTTTAACAAAAATGATAATATTTCTCATCGAAATTCCATTTTTGCTAAAACTATTAGATGTTCATTAAAATGTTTGTACCTATATCTTTGTGTGCGTATGTTTTCCATATCCGATATTTTGTCTAAATTTCACCGAAAATAGAAATCATCACCGTGCTGCATTTTGCAATCCATTGTTGTATTGTGGTCTTGAAAAGTTGTCAAAAATTTCAATCGTTTTTCTATGACAATATAATAATATTTCACTGCGCAATGGAAATCACGCTTTCTTCTCCCGTCAGGAAATGTAACGGATCAAAGGTCTGGAACAAATATTACGGTACGCCGTATAAGTAATGACAATTTATCATATAATAATTGACGAGGCAGAACGCAGTTCATTTCGACTCCGATAATTGAGTACGTCAATGTATGCATATAATACTTCGTTATACCGTACCGAGCCGATCCTTTGGATTATTGTACAGTTTTAAACAATCATCCAGTGTTATTAATTAATTTGATGCAGTAGGCAGAAATGCAGCAGTATATTATTATATCGTTCTCTGGTATTATAGCTTTTGGATTAAAACCATTGTTTTCGGTAAAAATGATCAAAAACTGCAATAGCCAGTCAAAGTCCAAAAAAATAAACGTAACTCAAATGCGAACGAAAAGGAGTTTTCGAACATTTGCGATTTGTATTAAAACTTGTTACGATGATGTTCTAAAAAGTTTCTAGCCCTTGTAAAATAAATGACGTTCGATTTATGGAAATGAAATTAATTGAGTGTAAAAATATAGTTTGAAGTATACCTACTCCATATTGTAGTGCATGAACATCCTTGTTTAAGTTATTTATTCGAGCTCAAATTTAATCAAATGCGTTCAATTAACATAATCACTGACCCGTTTCCTTTTAAATATCATGTTTGTATCATCTACGTTCATTTTAAGTATTATGGTTCTCTTCTATCATTTTAAGCATATGCACACCAATACGAATACAAAAATAAGAAGTCTTTAGAATAATGCATTGTTACTTTGGTTTTGCATACAATATATACATTTATTTATTTATTATCGTTAATCGGTAAATTAAATTTGTGTTTGTTTCAAACCATCCAAACTGATTTATTTTAATTTGTACGAAAATAAACATTTTTATTTCAAGCCTTTTATCAAATAAAAATCTAATAACTTATTTTACACAATACTAATAAAACGATTAAATACATTAAACTTAAAGAAGGGTCCTTATAAATAACTTTAATTTATCCACAAAACTATAATTGTTCGTTTTTTGTATACGTTGGTTGTTGCCGCGTAAGTAACATTTTTTTAGTAATTTTTATATACGATGGTTGTTACCGCGTTTTGATTATAATAAAGGTTTTATAATTTAATACAGTCCACTTTTTCGTTCTTGATATTTGATATCCGACACCAGTTCAAACGTGGTCACCCCGACCAATTTTGGATTCAGGACCTCGCTCAAATAATAGTAATTCTTTAAATTCACGATCCGTAGTCCGGTTAGCTTATAGTACCTTTCTATATTTACGAGTAAATATGTATTTACAGATGAAATCATTTAAAAATAATGAGATCATTTTATTTTGTAAAGTTTCGTGTTTATTAACGCATAAAAAGTAAACAATTAGTAAACAATATTTCAAAGGTTTTTAATCAGATTCTCCATGACGTACTGTTATAAAATATGAAGTGGTGTATTTGAAAGGTGTTTATAGTGTTATGTATTTTACATGGAATAAGGAAATTTCTTCGTATATAAATTATATTCGGCAGTAACATTTATTTTGTCCGGAATAATTACTTTCTCGGAGGAAAATTTAAATTTAAATTTCCAACTTAAATTATAGTCACACTTATCAGCTGCACAGATACATCAATCTAATGGATACAAGCAATGGATTCAATTTGATTTTTTTTGTCAAATTTGTTTTATCACATTTAGAATTTCATGGCATAATCAATTCGAATAAAATATAAAAACAGGAAGGTTAATTTAACTATAAGAATAAAAATTATCATTTGATGTTTTTATAGTTATAAGATAATGATTCTACATGAACAATGAATCAGTATTGGTGGTATCTCTATAATTTGTTAGTCAGTTTGATTATTTTTCCTTGCGTTCTCGAAGTTAAATATATTATTTTAAATATAATGGTTTTTTTACCTAAATACGCACTGCTTATATATTAATGAATGACATGCGATTAGTGGATACATCGATACGAACATATTTTGATATTCATTATCAGGTTCATAATCATTAAACGTTTTTATCTGAAATCATTGTGTAATGTGAGATTGAAGTAGTTTAATGAAAGTTTATTTTTATATGACGTGGACAATATAAAACAGAAGAAGTACTTGTGAAATATAATAAAATCTATTTTAAAAACTGTTTTCTAATGAACTTTGATTAAAAAGTCTCGGTAAATGTTCAACACATTTTATGTTCAGAGTTTACAGCAATAATTATTTTCGAAAAATATATACAATCGCATTGTTTTCTGAAACACTTTTTGATAAAATGAGTTCTGTTCATTTACAGGCGTAAGCAGCAAACAAACATACATATTAGATACACAATTCGTTTACGTACATTAAAAATATATACTATATGAGCAAATTTTATTAAAAGCGATTCTTAAAAAAGTATAACTACCTAAAAAATCTATTTTTTATGCTCTTTTTTACGTTTTTTTTTATTTTTTTTATTTTTTTGCAAAAAAATCTTTAGTAATGAATAATTTCGACATTTTGTATTCACATCTTAAACATTATTAATCAAACATTTACCGCATTGTAATCAGATTTTGATTGCCTTGAATGTATTCAGGAAATAATTTACATAATATACTTTATACATTTTCAACGCTCAAGTACAAGGGTTCATGAGTCAGATTATAAAGATTTGAAAATGATTATTAGACGGTTTTTTAACAATGGGTATTTGTTACGAGCACACAATGTTCTGTGCAAATGAAACACAGCTCATGAATTATTAATATTCGAATCACTTAATGGTTATAATTAAAGACCAGATATAATTGCATTAAAAATATCTTGAAATTGCACTAAAAAGATGCCAAAATTGCAATGAAAATTTATCAAAATTGCAGTATAAATATGTTAAAATTACAATGAAATACATTAAAATTATGTAGTAAAATCATATCAAATATATAATCATTAATTACACATCTTATTTTCATCACAACAAACCACTAAACCCATTAACGTAATATTCACTTTAGAATCTCTTAAGTTTAACGCCATTAAATCGAATATATATCTACTCGTGGAGATCGTGTTTAACCACCGTTCTTTATTTTCATTTGGTCAATCAAGTTTTGATGTTAAATCGTTGTGGATTATTGCGGTCACTTAAAATTCACTGCAGCAATGCGATCATCCATAACAGCCTTCTGTCCGGTTCACCGTACGATTTATCGGTTTGACTTCATACCACATTGTCGAACTCTGAAAAAAAAATGATTAAAAATATATTCAGTTACATATAAAATCTTTGAAGTCTATAAAGATATGATATCATGAATAGATGATCGATCAGTTGAATTAAAGTATTGTTATATTTTTTCAATCATTCGTTTATTTTACGAAAAATTACTTACTTGTTACGATATGATTGGCGATGAACAAAATAATAATTAGGTGTTAGATAGTCATTATAATTATATTTCTATCGTTTTTGAAATAATTCCTAATAATTTATAATATATTGTAATATAAACATTGATGAGGATAAACAAAATACTAAAATTTAGAGTATTCATTTGCGAACGATATTAAACGTCTAGTTTAATAATAAG